TCGGTCCCCGGGCCTGGGTCTGCAGAACTTGGCACTCACCAACATCATTGCTCATGTCTCTGCTCGACCTGGGGTTTGCTGACTATGCAGATGCACACATTCCTCTCCTGCAGCTGGTAGGCTAGAAGCCAACTGATCTATAAATATGTGGCCTGGCTCCATGTTCTGGCCCCAGAGCCTCCACATGCTGATGGACAGTTCATCAACACAGTTTTAAGCCAGAACAAGATATCACTTAGAATATGAAATTTCCTCTGGATTCCAAGAGAAGATTCAATATTTGGACAGATATATGTGATGCTCCAGAAAGGGCGTTCAACATTGTCTAGACTTTGTACGACAGCTAGGGAAACTGAGGCCCAAGAAGGCTGGTGCAAGACTGGAAACCAATGTCTGCCTCCCAGCTCTGAGAGCAATGCAGTGCAGAAACGTCAGTCTATACCACCCTTCATGTGTGTGGTTCATATCTCTGCTCCTCCTCCCTCTTGCCTGTGAGCCCGCCACTGGGGCCAGGGCTATGCCCAGCCAGCCTCTGCAGCTTTAAGTGCCACCAGTGGCTGAACTGCCACTCCGCTGCTGGCCAAGGAAAGGCGGGCTTAAGCCACCTTGGACGTGTGTCCTGGGCCACACTGAGGGACAGCTTTCCAGGTTAGCCCAAACCACAGCAAGGGCACCAAGGAAAAACTTGTTCTCTTTGGCCTAACACTCTTTTTGGGCCCTTGGGAGAAGGTGGGGCAACCAGGACAGGATTCCCTGGCGGGGCAAGTCTTACATGACCTCAGTGGCAGCCAGTGTCTGTGCTCTCACCCCAGCCCACATATCCTGGGAGCTGTGCTCAACTACCTGGCAAGCCCTGTCCTCAGAGGTCCTCCCAATCTGTGTGGTCATGACCTCTGAGGAAGTAGGACAAGCAAGGATAGCTGGCTTGATGCAAGGACAAGCATCAAATGTTTCTGGGTGGAGACTGAACCACACCATGACAGACCTTTTTTGTTACAGTGAACCACTGGAACATTGGCTCTTCTTGGGAAGCCAGGCCTCAGGCTCATGGTTGCTGACAATGGGGTGACAGCGGTGCCTGATGCTATCCCATAGTGACTGTCCCTCTAATCTTAGGGCAGGCCCAACAGGTGAGATGTATGCTGGAAAAGACAAGGGGATAGAAGTACAAAGCAACTACTGGCCTCATGGGCAATCCGCAGGCAAAGGTACCCGAAGCATAGGCCTCACTTTGAGACACTAGCATCTCCATATCAAACTTCTCTTACCAAGACTCAATTCTCCCTGTGTGCATCTCCCAGGGGCTCTCAGTCCATCAGCTTCTGGGCAGTGGCAGCCATTCTCCACCGCCCTGGACTGCAGCTGCAGGCTCCCTTGAGCCCAAGGGTGGGGATACACTCACAGAGGGTGGGGGCTGCACCTGCCTCCTCAGCGCTGGATCTGGCACAGCCCCGCAGGTGCTCCTAGCCAACACATCTGGAATGCATTCTAAAGCCAGGGGAGGGGCTGCTGGGGGAGCAGAGGAAATAAGTTGTACAATAAGAATAAAACCACCAGTTTAGATCCAAACACCAGAACTCTCTGAGGGTCCACAATGGTGCTATGGGTACATGGCACCAGGAGGTACGTTGGCAGTAACTGCCGGGCGGGGGGCGGGGTGTGGAGAGCAGTTTTGATGAAGCATTACTCATGTCTGGCCTCAAAGACACAGGCCTATCTGACAGCCCCATTGTGTGATCAGCTAGTTGAAATGGGACCTGAGGTTTCTCCATAATATTCTTTCATGTACCATCTTCTGGGCAGAGCTCAGGGATACGCAGGATTCTGGGATTACCAGCTCACTTTATATCCAGTCTCCCCAAGACAAGGACTATGGTCTTGAGAGCACTGTCTTCTATCCGACTAGGTCTAGGGCAGCACTTGCCTTTCAAGAATGCAGCCAAGAATAAGTGGGTAGCGCAAGCTGTGTCTCTGATTCAGTAAGTTGGCATACAAGTTACTTTCTTAAGACAGAAATCATACCACTAGGCTGCTCCCAAGAGCAAGAAATGGACCCCATGTTGTTTGAGCATGGGTACCACTGAGGCAGAGGACTGGGCACAGGTTCTTGCATATTGCAAACAAGTAGCATGGATTTTGGCACCACTACAGAACAAAGCAGTGTGCAGACCATGGCTACTATGCAGAAAGCAGGCCTGGCATGGTTACAAACAGGCAGATGTGATAATGGAATAGCCTGTAAGGGTGCATGGGCCAGCCTTCTTCAATTTTCTCATGTTTGACAACACGTCCAAGAGGCGGGTTACATGTGCCTGTCAGTGTGTCCTTGCCACATGGGAAGGCCATCATTATGCAATCGTGTCATGGGTTCTGGACCATGACCCTATTCCAGGGCTGCTGAAGATCATGGCCCAAGGTTGTGCTGCAGAAGTCGAGTCTGACTTGGGCTCAGTTCCCAACCTTTGCTGTGCAGCCATGGCTGGAAACAGAATGAGAAAGTTTGAGGTGGGTTGCTTTGTTTTGGAGAGCAGGAATCATGGCCCAAGGTTGTGCTGCAGAAGTCGAGTCTGACTTGGGCTCAGTACCCAACCTTTGCTGTGCAGCCATGGCTGGAAACAGAATGAGAAAGTTAGAGGTGGGTTGTTTTGTTTTGGAGAGCGGGGTTATCAGTGTAGCCTTGGCTGTCCTGGAACTGGTTCTGTAGACTACGCTGGTCTTGAACTCACAGAAGTTCACCTGCCTCTGCCTCCTGGAATGAATGCTGGAATCAAAGGTATGTGCTACCACCACCTGGCTTTCTCTTTGTTTTTTTTACAATGTTGGGGACTGAACCCAGGATTTCACACATACTAGTCAAGCATTCTACAACAAAGCTATTCCCAGTTCTCTTTTTACTTGTTATTTTGAGACAGGATCTTGCTTAGTTGACCAAGCTGGCCTTGAACTTTTAATTCTCCTGCCTAGGTCTCCTGCATAGCTGGGATGACAGGCCTGTGCCATCTGGCTGGGCTATAAACATTATTTCATCCATATTTTATGCCACCATAGTCAGCCTGGCAGGAGATAGAGATAGTCAGTGAGGACATCCCCCAAACCAGACACCTACTTTGGGATTGGCCTACCCATGATCCTGGGCAGTGTGAGCTCTGTATCAGCCTGGGCCCTGGCCTAACTCCCAGGCCCCAGGTGAAGATTCCCAGGCAGCCTGGGAGGGCTGGGGAGGCGGCCATGGCCAGGATAGGGTCCCACAGGAGGGAGCAGCTGGAGTTGGAAATCCCATGCGGCTCCCCCCACGGTGGTCCTGCTGATGGCGGGAGGATGCTGATCTTGACAGGAGGGGATATGTTCCCACCTGGTCTGCCTTCCATGAACATCCAAACCACACACAGATTGAGGCTATGCCAAGCCTCAGCGTAGTGGAAGAGAGACACGCTTTCCTCTCCTCCACAATCAGAACCCAGCCCTAACCAAAGCTGGACTCTGGATGCTTGCTAGACCACACAGATGCCCCCAGGATGCCCCCATAGACAACCCAAGCTAGAGTCCTGAGATCTGGAGGCTGCCACATCTTAGGATCCCACCGTGCCACTCTCTCAGACCCTACCGTCTCTGAGCCCAGCAAACAGCTTTGCACTAATGAGGCAGGAAACAAGCTAGACAGAGAACCCCCACCCCACTTCCTGAAGCCTGGTGCAGCTTCCAGAGGGGAGGTGGAATGCAGCCTGCGTGGCTGCCTTTATCGCCCGTTCTCTCTGGCAGCATCCTCCCTAGCACTCAGCGTCACTTTGTTTATTGCTGACAGGTCCCAGCCTGGTCCCAGGATGTCTGGCCCCTCTATGGGCAGAAATCTCATTCTCCAACTGATGCTCCTCCACACTCTCCCCTCAACAACCTAGAGATGGCCAAGAAGAGAGGACAGGACATGCCCAGCAGTGGCCTGGCCCACTTGCAGGCAATGTGTGTCGCCAGCATAGATTTTCGTTCTTTGGGGACTCCTTTGCTGGACAGCCTGGGTAGGACACCCAGTGTCTCTGAACTCAGTTTAGGGAAGCAACCCTCACTCAGCAAGGCCTGAGGCCACTGCAAAGCATCAGGAAATAAATGATGGGTGACCTTAGTGGGCAAGCCAGCCTCGTCAGGACACACCTCCCATAGTCACCTCTAGGGGTCACTGCCGGTATCTGTGAGCAGAGGCCAGAGTGGTGGCACTTGGTGTGTGCGCCATCAACCCCTCCCTCAGCCTTGAGAAGTCCAGGTGGAAATCACATGTGTATTTTCCAACTAGGAGACTGAGGCCCAGGAAATAAAGGGGCCGGCCTGGAGCTAGGGATGACTCCCTACCAGGGTCTCCTAGAGAGCCCTTGAAGTCCAGGGGACCTTGATTAAGATGACATCCATAACCGCAGGAGAGGTGGGCTTTGCAACTTGGCCTTGGACTTCTAGAAACTGGAGTGGAGGTGCACTGGGGATCTGGCCAGGCTCTCCAACATCTACAATACCAGGATGATCACAAGGAAGGAGGAATAGCCTCCCCAGGAGACATGGGAACCTGGAGAACTGTCAGCTGTACCCAGCCCTGTTGTTTCTAGGGAGGCAGTAGTCACCCTGGCTTAGAGGGACATGCTCGGCAGCTTTGAGGAGAGGGTACAAAGGCAAATGTTGGAGCAATGAAGGCTCTTCCCAGATGAGACTAGCACATGCCAGCTACCAAGCAGTGGACACATGGCACAGCACCGTGGCCCCTGTCACCCCTCTCTGAGTCCCTCCAGAGTCAGGCTGGCTGCCATAGTCTCTGACATTGGGGCTGAGGCCCAAGAGATAGACTTGCCTTAAGTAACAGCCTCCTGTGCCCACCAGGCTGGCTGCCATAGTCTCTGACATTGGGGCTGAGGCCCAAGAGATAGAGACTTGCCTTAAGTAACAGCCTCCTGTGTCCACTGCACTTTTGCTAGGAGTTTCTGCCACCCACACCCTAGAGGCTGGTGGCCACGGCTACCTACCAGGTGCCCTGCAGCTCTCACCAGCTGGTGAGTGGAGAAGGGGAAGGCCTCATTGCTCAGGTCAGCATCGAGAACATCCTGGAGAATGGTACGGCTGTGAACAAGGAGAGAGTCGTCAGTCAGTGAGTCATACACACCTCCAGAATTCCCGGCCAGGGCCAGGAAGGCAGTGGGGCCAATGCTGGAGGAAGGAGGACAACAAATGGTATGTATCTAGACATTCTGGTAGGTACACGCCACAAGTGCCACCATGTGAGACAGCCACCTTCCTATGGACTGTCAGGGCCCGGCAGAGTCTGGAAGGCCAGGTCACAAATGAGCTCTGGCCTCAGGCTGGTAACTACAAAGTTATGCAACTGCCAAGCACTCTGGATCTCACCCAAGTCACCATTGAGAGAAGTTGGCAATGGTGGTCTCTGTTTTACATAGGAAAGTCAAAGTTCAAACTGTAGTGAGTAGCCAGGAGCCAGCAGGAGAGCACAAGGACACTGTAGTGCACCACTCCACTGCCACCCTCACTGCTGCCACCAGAAGTTGGCAATGGTGGTCTCTGTTTTACATAGGAAAGTCAAAGTTCAAGCTGTAGTGAGTAGCCAGGAGCCAGCAGGAGAGCACAAGGACACTGTAGGGCACCACTCCACTGCCACCCTCACCGCTGCCACCGCCACCACCACCACCATCGCCATCACTGCCTGCAGCCCAACTGCCACCACCACCACCATCCTATGCATCCTCCAACCAAGCCCAAGTGTCCTGTCTGTCATGGGTCTCAGCCTCACAGGAGTCACAAGGAGGTAGAGAGATTACTTAGAGTTCCATCCCCTGGTAGACATCGCCTTCTTAAGGACAGGGACTGTACCTAGCTGGGATACCCTGCAGCACCAGACTCGTCTTCCCCAAACTGTGTCACATCACAGTGGCTCCTACCGTCATGTCCCTTGATTTCCTAAACCACAACACGGTTCATACTCATATGCCCACCATGGAGGCACGTTCTAGCACATTCCTCACCCGTCTCAGCCCTGCAATCTCCCTTGCCCACCTCCCCACTCCTCTGCAGCCCCACTCAGGCCCTCCTGCTGCTAAATATACAAAATCTTATGGGCCCATGCCCCAAGGTCTAGGCAGTGGCCCTTGTCATGTGGGTCTGAGTCAGGTTTCTTCCCAGGGGTCCCACAGGTGTCTCTGTGTGACTACAGGAGGCCTCTGGCGTTTTTTTTCTCCCTTTGCCACGCCCAGCCCTCTAAGCCAGGGGCTCCCTGCCAACAGGACCTTATACCACCCTCTGCTTGGCACACAATTATAAGCATCTGGGCTCGACACAGGCAACAGGGCATGTACCCTAGGGCTGGAAACGCCCTCACTTCTACCCATCAGGGGTCCCAGAGGGCTGCAGCTACTGCTCAGAAGTGCAGTCAGCCCAAATCCCCACCACACAGAGCTGGGAGCTACCACCCACGCCCGCATGAGGTGCTCAGCCGCTGCCTTCTGCCAAGATCCTTATGTAACCCCAGCCCCACGTGGTGCCAGCCCTAGAGATTCAGCTCAGCTCTACTGCAACCAGACCTCCTAGAACCCAGGCTCTCACAGCCCTGGGGCAACCACACAACAGAGAGGTAGCCTGGCAGGATATATAGGGCTTGCGCTGTCTTCCTCATAGGGCATAGGAGCTACAGATGGCTCCTAATGTGGGGCTTGGAGGATTGGAACCTAGGCTGGGGTGTCAGCTCCAGAGAACAGTCACCCAGGTCTGCCAAGGATGCTGTCCTTCTCAGAGAACAGGTGGCCCGAGGAAAGGGTCACTTGGAGTCTTGAGGGCAAGTCCCAGCCCCTCACATGCCTCAGCCCTGGCTGCTAAATGGAGACCTAGACAACCCTTACAGAAAGAACCACAAAAGCATGTGTCCAGTGCCTGGGGCCCATGCTGTCAACTATGACCATCCCACATAGCTCAAGTGTGTCCCCAGCAACCACAGGAAGCTGTTTGAACTGAATGAAGTTCATTAAGGGTCAAGAGCCAGGTAAAGTCTTAGCATACTGGCTGGCTCCGGGATAGCCAACTTCCTGAATGTTCTTCCGAGTAGCAGTTCACTTAGTAGCAGTTTCCATGACCCAGGTGCTGTGCTAAGTGCTCCCCATAAAGGCCCATAACTAGGCCTGTTTGTATTGGTGACATTACTACTCATATGGGAAGGAGGAGAGCCTTCTGGAGGTGGGAAGGAGAGCTGCCAGCCTGGAGGCTGCCACCTGGCTGTCCCCTGGGGCTGTACCTTGATCTGACTGTCTGATATCCTCACCCCTTCCTTCCCTCCTCACCCACCTGCCTCCCTCATTCTAAAAATAGCCAGGCCCTATCCAAGGTCACTACTCAATGAAGCTGGAGTCTCCTGAAGGCCAGGCTTCTATTGCAGCAGGTGGGACTCTATTCCTTCAAGCTGACCTATGGGCTCCAATAACCCTGCGGGGGAGGGGCTGGAAGCCACACCCACAGCACCATTGGGCCCTGCCGCCAAATGCTAATCAACCACTCTAAACACTTGAATAAATGGTTTCCCTGTCCCCATGTGGCAGCCTTGTAGTGTGGTTCCCACCACCTGCCCCTCTTCCTGGCCCCTCAAGACCCTTCAGCCAGCTGTCCCTGAAAGGCGCTCAGCAAACACTATGATCTGGTGCCCTCCTGTTCTCTGAGCAGCAGCCAGGGTCTGGACTCAGCCAGGAGTCGCTAGATTGGTCAACCCCAAGGCACCAGGGAAAACTGACACCACAGCAGAGTCTGAGCTCACTAGTCAGGGTCCCAGCAGGACACCCAGGGTGGAAAAGATGTCACCATTCTGACCCCCTGGGGATCCTAGCAGCCCTTCCTGAGGAATGCTTCTTCCCTTTGCCCCTCCCACAAGAAGTGACTCCCTTCTGCCCTCACTTCCAGCCTAGGCCCAGGGGATCCACCAAGCACAGGGATGCATCTGTGGGACCGACACATGGCACCTTGCTGGTCACCAAAAAACATTATCCAGTTCAGACGCAGTTTCTCATGAGGGCTTTTGACTTGGCGACTAGGGTGGACTATGAGAGATGGGGGTTCCCATCTCCTTATACCTTGGCTCCCAGGCACTGTGTGACCCTGGAAATGTCTCTACCTCTGATACATCAATAAGAAGAGAGAATTCACAACCACCTGATATGGTAAACCTCATCAGCTGTTGGACAGAGGGGCACCTCCTAGATCAAGAGGGAGACCCGCCAGGTGTTATCCTTGGAGCTATTTCAGAGACCAGCTCTGAATGTCAGCGACACGGGCACCAGACAGAATAAAAAAGAAAAGGAATAACCCTGTCACGTGAGATCCCCCCTTTCTCTTGCCCATCTCTCTTTCCCTTTTTCTTCCTTCTTCTCTTCTCTTTTCTCCTCAATCTCTCCCCCTTTCCTCTCTCTCTCTGCTCTTTCCCCTCTCTCTTTTCTCTTTTTTCTCCTCTCTCTCCCCCTTTCTCCACCACCCCCATCCCTAATCTTTGAACTTGTGACTAAAAACAAGTCCTTCCTCCCTTAGGTCATTATTTTACAGACATTCAACATAGCAACAAAACACCTACCACCAACCCACAGCCTCTCTGCAGCATCAGGGGCAGGGGCTAGGCCAGCTCGGGCACCACAACTGACTGTACTTGGTTGGTGTCTGTTCACAGCGCATTCGTTCTTCCTCTTGTTTCCCCTATCCTGCCCCTTCCCCAAAGCTCTGCCAGAGTGGTCTTGTGCACACCCGGCACACATCCTTGTGTCTAAGACCCTCAGTAGCACACAGGGGTCCCCATGAGATTCTGACTCCTCCTGCATCAGGAACAAGGCTCAGCTGAGAATTATAGAGCCTCAATGGTTGATGGCTTTGTCTGGCATACAGAGAGAATGGGGGGGCCTCTCCTCAGATCTCTATTTACACATGGGAGTGGGTCCACTCCTGGCCTGGCTCTGTCTATGTGGAGGGATGAAGAAGAATAATAGCAACCAGAGACTCTAAGGGGTCTTCACAGAACGCAAGGCTGCAGAGTTAAGCTGACCCTGGTCCAGGGCTGACCCAAACCTGTTATTTTAAAAACTACTCAGCCCATGTAACACCCCAAGTTGTCAGGTCACCCATTGTTCAGATGAGTGGTTCTGCCCATGGGCTCGCCTGAAGGCTCACATAGGGGCACCCAGTAACCCAGGTATCAGGTCCCTGTCTCTTCTTACCTGGCTGGGCCCTGGATGCTGAGCATGCCCAGATCTTCAGAACTATCCATAAGCTGGCATCGGAACTTCTGATCCTGTAGAACTGTAGTTATGTGGGACCAGTTGTGTTGGGCCACAGCCCCACCTACGGCCAGGTAGTAGCCATCCCCTAGAGGAGAAGCACCAGGTTTAGAACAGGACCTTGGGACAGAGAACAAGGTGAGGGTGGGCCTAAGGGACCCCAGATTCTTACTGGAGAAAGGGTGTAGCTTGGTTCCTTCAATGGGCAGTGCCAAAGGCTTCCACCTGCTTCTCTGGTGCCTTCGGGTCCTAGGGGTACTATCCAGCCTCAACCACTAGGGCTAAGCAGCCTCAGACAAATATTTTTCCCTCTCTGAGTCTCAACAACCTTACTAGTTCCCATCATTAACATATCCCATGCCCCTGGGCTCCCTGCCTCTGCCATTCTGAAGCTCACTGGGCCAGGCTTAGAGATGGGAGTTACAGGCAACAGTCCCCTCGTGGTGGCTAACCTCGATGGTCAATTTTATAAGATCTAAAATCACCTAGGAGGCAGGGCCTCTGAGTATGTCTGGAGAGGGGTTCTAGATTCAGTTAATCTGGGTAAGAAGCCCCACCCTGACTGTGGGTGACACCTTGGGCTGGGGTCCTAGATTAAATAAAAAGGAGAAAGTGAGCTAAGCACAAGCATCCATCTCTCTGCTTTCTGACTGTGGATGTAACGTGACCAGTCATCTCAAGGTCCTGCTGCCATATTCTCCCGGCTGTGTGCTTGGACTGTGAACTGATGAGCTGCTCCTTCTTCGAGAGGCTTTTGTCACAGCAATGAGAGAAATGGCTAATACAACCTGAATCACCCAGGATGTTAGCACATCAATTTTCCCAGAAGTTCAGGGAGGAGACATGTGTTGGGAATAGGTGAAACCCACTGTTCCTATGGCCATAGGGCATCCGCAGAGCCACACAGGCCCTGGGTGGCTTTCCCTTGGACACCAGCTCACCTCTGCCAGACATTCTGGGAAACCACAGCCTCAGAATTTAGTGGCTGTGGACCTAGTAAACAAGCTCACCAATATCAGTAATGCCATCTGTGATTCAAGGTTCAAAAAAGTTCTCATTGGAACGGATGCTATGACCTGTGGTAGTCGGGTATCCCTGAACCATTGCCTTTACCACCCCCTGGACCAGTTGTGTGTGTGTGTGTGTGGGTAACCTGGCACAAGGAAGGCAGGGTGGGAGGTTTCTATGGTGCCTCCCATCTTTCTGACCCCCTTTCTCACTGACTCCCATAGGCTCCTCTGCTTTGCAGTGAAGGCCCTCAAAGTCCTTAAGCTTCTGGGCCCTGATCACTTGCTTAGGCATCAGGATGCAATTGGAACCGCCTTTGAGGGCTGCTGGGAGGAGGCAAAGCCACAGCAGACACAGGAAGCAGGGTTTGGGGCAGAATGGCAATATTTACATGCTCCCTTTCCCTTCCCCTTCAAAGGCCTCTTCATGCCCAAACATTGAGGTCCTCACCACCAGCCTTGCAGCTCCCCCTGCTTTGGGACTTGGTTCTATTGAGGGGTGCTTTCATCCTGCCCAGTCCTCTCCCTTGCTGCTTCTCCACCTCCATGACCAGATAATGCCCTCTCCTGGAACCCCTCTCACCCCAACCTTGCAGAGTTCTGTAATAGGCTGAGTCTATGACAGCCAGACCTCGGCCCTGTGCCTATTCCTCCACCCACTCCCCTCACACTAGTGATGCACCCCAAAGAGCCATGGGTGGCAGAAGCCCTGATCCCTCAAACCTTTATTTTGGAGACACCTCACAGGAACACACAACATCCATGGAAGGATGCGGTCTTGGGAGGCACACAGGCTTTGGCCACCCTGTCCGACTGCACTGTCTGCAGCTTGCTGGCCTCAATGTTCATCTTTCTGAGCCTCTCCATTTCCACCTGTACAATGGGCCTGGTCCCAGCATAGGGCTACTTAGAGCCTCCAAGGGGAAATGCTACCAGAGCATCAGTCAGGGCCCACCAAAGTGTCCCTCCCTTCGTCCTCCTGAGTAGAAAAGAGGGAGGGGGAAGGAGACGGAGGAAGGGAGGCAGGGAAGGAGGGAGGGAAGGAGAGAGAAGAAGGCTCCCTGATCCCTGGCTGGAGTTACCAGAGGATGCTTGAACTCTGGGCAGTGTCCTCAACCCCTTGCCAAAAGATATTCCACCATCACCAATGTCCTCATGCACACTTCAGCCCCCATTCTGTTACCAGCCTGAGTTCTCTACCAGTTGGCTTGAGAATAATGTGCCGCTTGCCCTGGGCAGCTATCCCCACTCGGCTGCCCTACAGAGAGTGCAGGGCCTGGGACATGGTGAAGGCACAAGAGCCAAGGGGCACAGTCTCACCCCAGACTCCTCTCCACCATTTCCAGGTATGGGGTGAGCATTGTGGGTGGCAGGTCTTATATGCCATTTTCATTATGTCGGTGTGTTTCCCACAAGCAAGTACACCTTTTATAATATTAAGAAATATGAATAAAGATAATTTAAAATTGCTTCCAAGATTGACAGCTGCTTAGTACACAGCCTTGATCACATGTAAATTGTCACATTCTCTTGACTTACTGGAGCTCTGAGTCATATGTATAATTAACATGCATATTAAATATATACATAATGCAACTGCATACGCATCACAGGGCCCGTCAGTGCAGGAGCCATTTCTCTACTGTTTTGGGGTAGCCCTGGGATCCGCAGCCTCCAGAGCATGGGGCTCACTGGATCATCCAGCCTTGCCCCCTGGGTGGAGGCCTCCCCCAAGCACTCAGCCTCAGGAACTGTGTGGTGCAGGGTAGGAGGTACAAGATAATGTGTCACAAAGCACTTGATAGCTTCCAGCAAGGTCATTATTGCCAAGATGGGAAACTGAAGCTTGGGAGCCCCCACCTAATCTCTTAGCCCCTCTGAGCCCTTATTCTTTCCTGTAGCAGCTGGGGATGGAGGCTCTCCAGTCCCCATTTCACAAACACAAAATGGTGGTAAGGACGTAGCTCAAGGATACTGTACTTAGAATATGCTTGCCCTAGGTTCAATCCCCCCCTCAATACAAGAAAAATCAGAACTGTAGCTGTATCACACACAGATAAGGAGAATAAGCATCCTTCCTTTCCCACCCCTGCCTATGTCCACTGAGACTTAGTCCCAGGAGGCTTCAGGAACAGAGAGAATATCTAGAAAGTAACCAGGATCCATATGGGCCATCACTAGCTGCTGTCACCCTCCTGGATGGCAGCCCAGAGAGCCACACAGTTGATTCCTCCTCTCTGTAAGCCACTCTCTTATAAGTATCAATGCCCTCTTGGAGAAAAGACATGCACACTCTGTCCCCTCTCCTCCTGGTGGACATAGATCACGGGAAAGGAGATGGACTGCACCTGTGGAAAGTGACAGGAAGAACCCAGGGTCGGGGTGACAGGAGGCAATCTTGTTTAGATATAACAGCAAAAGCTGCACAAGCAGAACTGAAGTGCTGAGCTTCTTGTCATTAGGAGTGTGCAAGGAGAAGTGGAGGGACACAGAGGTCACCCAGGTACCAGTGTAGACACTAAACCAAGTACCAAGGGACCTGCCTAGGCCTAAGGATGACTCAAGAACTAGGACCAACCCAGATGTCAGGGAGAAGAGGCTGAACTCTGAGTGGGACATGTGGCCTCCCCTAACCTGGACAGTTGGGTTGAGTCAGCCACACCAAGGCTTCTCCAACATGCCACAGTACCAACAGGTTCAAAGACATAATTACAGAGTGCTCAGAGCAGCAGCATGTTCGCCTGAACAGAGGCAGCATTAAGCCTAAAGTGAGACCGCTAATCACCAGGTCCTAACCACAAGTGGACATGACAGATTATTATGTAGTCGTCCTGGACAACCCTTCCTGACCTTCTGGCCACCAGGGACTACCAGCCCCCTGAGCAGGCCACATCCATGCCAGGGCTTCTCACAGCAGCCTTACCTTCAAAGGCAGGGGCCAGGGGACTGGCCTGGGTGCCAGGGGCCAGACGGCTGACGGTCAGATCGCTCTCAGTGCCTCCCCGGTGGTTCAGCATGCAGGTGTATACCGTTGAGCCTGATAACAAGGACCTAGGTGTAAGCTTCACCAAAGCTTGCTCCTCCTCAGAGTCTAAAGGACCCCACAGCGGGTCTTCCTCGTAAGACCTCCTACCCTGTGACTCTATTTCAACCAACCAGACTAATGATGAGGTCATTCATGGTTGTCATTTGGGGAGGGACACTCTTTGAAAATGTTTGCCTGGCTCCTCCCTCACCACCATCAGCAGTGTGCCTGAAATGGCAAAAGCAGTCTCTATGGGGTAAGTGAATGGCTGTGTGGATGAACAGCAGGCAGATGAGTGAGGAGAGTAGGGTAGGCAGAAGGGTGGGTACCCTGGGTAGGAGCACATGGATGGAGAAAAGGGTGGTAGAAAGGGCTGGAAGGCAGCTGGTGGTAGTAGGGGGTGAGCAGGTGGGTGGAGCCGCTGGAAGATTCACAGGAACAAAGCCGGCTGCTGCACATGGGGAGCAGGTGGGTGGAGCCGCTGGAAGATTCACAGGAACAAAGCCGGCTGCACATGGAGCTGGTGGCTGCCGAATGGCTGCACACGGGATGTCTTAGGTTGAATCATGCCCCACAAATAGACATACTAGGATTTTTGACTCCAAGAACTTGTAGATGAGACCTTACTTGGAGGTAAATTCTTTACAACACTGTGTGAGAGACAATCATTCGAATGGCCTCCCAGCCAGTAGGACTATTTACAAGAAGAAGAAAGTTAAGGCCTAGGGAGATGACTCAGTGTGTTCAATATCTAGGATCGACATTTAAAAAAATTTTCAATGCTAGGGAGACAGAGATAAGACAATCCCTGGTCCTACCTGGCTGGCCAGCCTGGCCTACTTGGTGAGTTCCAGGCCAGTGAGAGACCCTGTCTCTAAAAAAACCAATGTGGATGGTTCCTGAGGCAAGACAACCAAGAATGTCCTCTGGCGTCTGCTTGCACCTGCATATAAACGCACCCACATTCCCCAACACACATACAAGGAGAAAAGATGGGGACACAGCATTCAGTGTCAGAGGCAGAGATGGGTGAGGGGGCTGAAACCCAAGCAAGGCCAATGCTCCCGGCCCCCACCAAGCTGAAAGAGGCAGGCCGGAGCCCACTCGTAATCTTGGAGCAAGGGGCTTAGCCAAAACCCTGATTCTGGCCTCTGGCCTGGAGGACCAGGAGATAATCCATCTTATTTTAAACCACCCAGCTTGTGGGACTTGTTACAACAGCCATGGAAAAGGAATAAAGACGAGGACGGTGGGTGGATGAGTAAGACAACGGCAGGTGGGTGGCAAAAAAGATGATTATCCTAAATATTCCATGGGATACACCATAACAAAAATTGGTCATTATTTACTCACGATTAAAATGTAACTAAGCATTATGGGTTTTTAATTCTGGCAACCCCACATAGGGAAAGCACCCTGATGATGGGGAGAAGTGACCGGGCTTAAGTGCCAGGAGGTACTGCTGAGTACTTGTGGCCATGTATCTCTTCTGTGAGCAAAGAAAGACAGGATCCAGAAAGGGAACAGAAGAAAGGATGGAAAAAGTAATGGAGGAGGGGCAAGACCATGGGGTTGGGGATTGGTGACAGGACACAGAGGGCCAGACATCAGCCTGGGAAGAACAGCAGGCTCCCTGCCTGCTGCCTCATCCATGTGCCCATGGCCAGGCCATGAGTTCCAACTGAAACTGAAGTAGGAGAGGAATGGCTCTATCCCACCCTGGGCCCAGTACCTGGGGGTCGGTTGACATCTGCTGAGAAGAGCCAGTCAGCGGCCTTCCTGGCGTCCACCCCCAGCAGGTAGAACTTCCCAAAGTAACACATGTTGAACAGGGCTGCAGCCCGTCGGCAGGCCAGACATTCCTCCTGGATCTGAAAGGCCCAGTGGAGGAAGGCTTTTCGGGGTGCTGAAGCGGGGACACGGGGCTGGGCCTTTCCTGACACATTTACTCAGAGCTTCCCCACTACTGCCCTCCCCACCTCAGTCATCCCAGCTCGGGGGCCACCACAGTGCATTTTTCTCCAGAGCAGGAGCACGTAGTCATAAATAGGCTCTGTCAGCCATGAGAACCAGTCATGGTGGCACAGGCCTGTCATTCTAGCACTGAGGTGGCAGAGGCAGGAGGACCACAAGTTCAAGCTAGTGACCCTGCCTTGCCCTCGAAGAAACTATCGAGAAAGTAAACTAAACGGACAACAAGCAGAAAGAAAGATGGCCAATATACAACACCTACTCCATTTCTGTGCATTAACACAGAGCAATCTAAAGAGAAAGCAAGAAAGTGACTCCATTTTCACAGCCCCCAGGGCCATAAAAATATCTAGAAGTAAGCCTGACAACAGAAATTCGACTGTTGTCGAATTGAAATGAAAAGTTAAAAACGCATGTGTGTACATGTGTGCATGCATGTATGGAGGTCATGGATTGATACCTGATGCCCTCCTCAATTGCTCTCTGTGTTACCTTTTGAGACAGGGTCTCTCACTGACCCTGAAGCTCACTGGCTAGACTGGCTTGGCTAGATTTTTGTTGTTATTTTGGTTTGGTTTTTCTAGACAGGGTTTCTTTGTGTAGCCTTGGCTGTCCTGGAACTAGTTGAGTAGACCAGGCTGGCCTCGAACTCACAGAGATCCAACTGCCTCTGCTTCCAGAGCACTGGGATTGAAGGTGTGTGCCACCACACCCTTTTTGTATACAGTCTAAGGATCTGAACTCAGTTCCTCATGCTTGTGCAGCAAGCACTGTATTGACTGAGCCCTCTCCTCAGGCCCTGAAGAAACGTTATTGAGAGAAAATGATGACCAAAACATTCAAAGTTCATGGGACAGAAGATACACTGCCCATAGGTGACCACACACTCAAGTTGATCTGTAGATCTGATTAGATCCCTAGCACAGCCTCAGCTGGGTCCCTTGCGAAGTTTACAAGCTCACCCTAAAATCCACATGGAATTTCAAGGGATCAGAGTATCATAAACAATCTTGAAAAATAAGAAGTTAATGTGTTCACACTTCCTGATTCCAGCACTTGCTGGCATGGCAGGGGGTGGCGGCGGGGGGTCACAGTAGACAAAATATCCAACACTTGCTGGGGGGAAAAACTACAGTAGACAAAACAGTGTTGGGCTGAGCTAGTGATGGACATGTGACTAATGGGGTAGAGCCCAGAGTCTGGAAATCAACCTCATGTTGATGGAGATTGGTTTTCAACAGGGATCCCAGGAGAATTCCATGCGGACAGAGTCCGCTCAACAACTGGATATCCACATGCAAAAGAAAGATGCCTGAGTATTTCCTCATGCCACACACAAGACTCCAGACAAAATGGGTTGTAGACACAAGGGCTAAAGTGACAACCCCTTAGAAGAAAGCACGGAAGTATGTGTTTGTGCCCCCGGCCAGTCTCTTAGACATGATGTTGAAGGCATCAGCAACACAAGGGTAAGAGAGATGAATTGGACATCATCAAAGCTTTAGACTTTCATACAAAAGGACTAGAGTTTGTATTACAAATGATTCCATAATGACAGTGAAAAGGGAATGGGACTGATTTATATATTATACATCAAACAAGGGACTTGTATCCAGGATATTATTTCTTTTAGGCTTTGTACGTATGTGTGATGCGTGTGTACGTGTATGGACTATGCATGCCATTATGCAGTTGCAGGAACCAGAGGACACTGGTTGTCCTGATCTTATCAGTTTCCATCTTTTCCTCTTGAGACAGGGTCCCTCACTGATCTTTTGTGGGGGACAGAGTGTGGAATGGAGTGACTCCTGATGACTGTGGGGCTTCCTGAGTGGAGAATGAAGCTGTCCCAGGAACTTGCTGAGGAACAGTGAATGGAAAGCTTTCAATCCATGGACTGTGTGCTGTGGGAGCTGTAGCTCAGTAAAGGTGTTAACAATGAAAAGAGTACACACCCCTCCCTGCCTCCTCCTGGCCACTGATCAGCTGTGACAACCTCACTTTCATTACTGAGGGTACAGTGATGGTGGGAGCAGCTGCCATGGGCTGGACAGCCACTGTGTCCCTGGAAGCTGGACCACATTCCCATCAACTGGTACAGTGATGGTGGGAGCAGCTGCCATGGGCTGGACAGCCACTGTGTCTCTGGAAGCTGGACCACATTCCCATCAACTCATCACCCACTGAGATGGCTGATACTAACTCTTGGTATCCCCAGAACTCTGGAGTCCAGAGCAGCACAGTGTAAAGCCACAGAAATGTTGCCAGCATGGCCAAAAAAGACCCTCATCACAAGGGCAACAGTGGAGGTCTCCAGTGCCACACCCAGAGCTGAGCAATCAGCCTCTCAGACCTTGCAGTAGGGCTCTGGGCAGGCACCACAGACCTGGCTCAGCCTTCAGCCAGCAGGTTGGCATACCACACTGCCTCCTGAGGCCTCGGCTCCTCTGCCTCCCTCCAGACATCATTAGGGATCACTTGCTGTCCGCCAGGCTTTGAGGTGCCTTTGCTGGCACTGTTTGAGCTGTCGACCCAAACCCAAACAGCTTCCTGGGCTGACACTTGCTGTCTGCCTGGCTGGGGAAGCTGCCAATGTGGAGAACAAGTGTGTGTTTCATGCTCGGGGACTGTCTCTGGTGCATTTGCGGAGGCTGGATGGAGCTGCTAAGCCAAGTTGGCATCTCCCCCGAGCTTCCACACCCTCCAGGGCTAGGAGTCCCACAGGCTGTAGAAGCTGCAGGTGTGGAGGTGCCAGACGCAGCCATGCACTCCCTTGAGGAGGCTATGAGGACTGGGCATCAGGCCGACCATGCAACTGTTGCATTTTACGGAGCTCCCGACTCTGGTACCACTTCTGAAAGCCCTGACCTGCCTTAGTAACCATTTACCTCTCAAACAAGCTTAGAGAAAATTGGGGGAACAAATGGGCCCTTGCCTTCAGGACTGGCCACAATGTGCCATGAAAATGAGGGCTCTGGTTCCAGAGTTTGGGGAGACACAGACACCACTGATAGTGACTGTGAGGGGCCTGAGTGATGGCAGTCCCTGCCTGTGAAGACCTACCCTGGATACTATAAGGCTTTCCTGGTGCTTTGCCCACAGTCTAGGGCTGAGGTTGAGGACTTTGCTCTGCATTTACCTCAGATGCATGGTGGGACATCACAGGTGCCTTGGGCAAAGTGACATGCCCAGAAACAACTACAGTTCTTGGAGGAGCTAAGGAGGCATGGTGAGGACATCATCACTGCTTGTTATGTGTGAGCTGTCTGTGGGATACAGGCTGCTACAGGAATACCTGACCCCCAAGACTCAGCACCTCATCCCTCATAGGGTGGAGAGCCAGACACATTGCAGAGGGACCACAAGCTGCCTGCACTACCTCACCTGCCTACTTTTGAGTCAGTGAACAGGCTCCAACGGTACAGCCCTGGCCTCTTCTACTTTGTTATTTGGAGGAGTCATCCAGTGGCCTTGGGCACGGGGCCAGAAAACCCAACTTGTTCTAGACCCATTCCACTCTAAGTGGAGGTTGGAGGCCTCTGTAGAGCCCAAGAAGAAGAAGCCCCATCCCTCATGGATCTTCACAGCCTCAGGACCAGAGGACTAAGAAAGGGTACAATCCTGTCTCAAAGCCACTGTCCTTGCTTTGGTTTTTGTTGTTGCCTTTTGTTTGTCAGCTTGACACAAGCTAGAATTATGTAGGAAGAGGAACCTTAGTAGATAAAATACCTCTATTCAGATTGCATATAGGCAAATCTGTAGGGCATTTTCTTAATTAACAGTTGATATAGGTGAGGCTAGCTCACAGAGGGCTGTGCCACCCCTGGGCAGGTGGTCCTGGATATATAAGAAAGCAGACAAAGTAAGATATGAGGACTGAGCCAGTAAGTTTCGTTCCTCCACGGCCTTTGCCTCAGTTCCTGCCTCCAGGTTCTTGCCTTGAGTTCTTGTGTTTCATGATGGACTACAAACCCTTCCCTCCTCGGGTTGCTCTTGGTCATTGTGTCTTATCACCTCAACTAAGGCAGCCACCCAGGCCAGCCGCCTCAATCCTGCTTTTTGCTGCCCTCCAGCAGAAATATTGAGAGACCGACAGATCTGACTGTTGGCAAACTGCTGGCCCAGAAGAGAAGGAGAAGAAGGCATCACATGTTCCCACAAAACTGCATTAACCAGAAAGGGGCAAACCTGGAGCAAGCAGAAGCCCCCTCCAGCCACCCAAAGCCAAGGGCCCCTCAGGCAGCTCAGCAGGGGCTTCTACATGAGAAACAGAAGGCAGCTGGGGACTCGGCCAGACTCAGCACAGGTTGCTTACCAAGTGGTGGTGGGGTGGGAAGTCGAAAGTGTACTCATCACCCAGCAGCCTGCTGTAGGTGTAGTTCCTGTGTGCCTGGTTTCCATAGGCCCCATAGTAGTCGTAGTCAAGGACCTGTTACAGAAAAGTGAGGCCATCTCCCACTGTCTCTTCGTCTTCCCTCCTTGTTGAGGCTTGAGGGTAAAATCTCCCCCACGGGCTCATATGTTTAGCACTTGGCCCTCATCTGGTGGTGCTATTAGAGGTCGTGGACCGGTTAGAAGACAGAGCCTTATTGGAGCCTTATTGAATGTGTCAATGGAGGAAATGGGGTTGAGACTTCATAACCCAGCCCCACTTCCTTTCTGCTCTCTACTTCCTGACTGAAGACACAATGTGACTAGCTTTAGCCGGGCAGTGGTGGTGCACACCTTTAGTCTCAGCACTCAAGGAGGCAGAGGCGGAGGCAGAAGGATCTCTGTGAGTTTGAAGCCAACCTGGTCTACACAGCGAGCTCCAGGACAAGCTCCAAAGTTACAGAGAAGCCCTGTCTCAAAAAAAAAAAAAAAGGCAAGAAAAAACAATGTGACCAGCTGCCCTGTGTTCCTGCCACCATGCCTTCTGTACTACAATGCTATGCCCTGCTGATATAAAGGCCGCCTTCCTTAAGCTGTTTCCCGTGGCTATTTGATCAGAGCACTAAGAACTATACCTAACACACTCCCTCCCCTCTCTCTCCTCTCTTCACAAGCAGGCTTGGGAAAGATGCTCTACAGATTCTCATAAATTCTGTGGATGCCAGGATGAACATAACAGGGTTGGTCCTGTCCTCCATGAACCCCAGCCCCTCACCTGACACTGATTGGGTCATAGACATGCACAGAGTTCATATAGCTCAGGTAACATGAGGATACTTTCTCAAATGACAGCTTAATCCCTGCCTTGCTAGTTCTGACACCATGACTGGAGGATGGGGAGGAGACTGGTCACCAAATGAGCTGGAGAGGAACATGGGCCACTGTGAGGTCTTCTACCTGATGCCAGGACACCAGGTGGAGGGTGAAGGTGTGGGCAGGAACCACCACAGTGTTGGTTCCAGGTACTGTTGTCACAAAAATCCATGACACTAACTCCCACTGAAAGTGCCCACAATGCCTAATGAGCCACACACTCTGCAGATGGAGAACCTGAAGGCCAGGTGATTAAACCCACCCCAAAGTACAGACCAGGCCGAGGAGTCAAGGCATGAAGCTGGGCAGGTGTGACTGGTGTCTATGGCTGTTTCTAGGAGACTCTGGAGAAGGTTCCAGTGTCTGGCTCTTCTCCATTGTCCCAGCCTCTCCTAAGTTCTGTCACCTCTGTCAGATACCACACCAAACACCACCCCCCTTGACCTCAAGCTCTGAGTGGCTTCCTTCTCACTGCAGGGGTGAATAAAGGAACCATGGCTCTCATCTCTCAAAGCTCTAATCACAGGCTCCACCTACTCCTCAGGGGTAAGAGCTGAGCCCCAAGAGTGGGAGGTTCTATCTTAGCCTCACATGCCTGGGCCCCTGCCAGCCATGGCACCTGTGAGGCCTTCCCAGCACCTCTCCCTTCCCAGCTAGGCGTACTTCCCCTGGTCCCTGAGGCCCCAGCAAGAATATCCCATCTGCTTGAGCCCCACAAGGTTTCCAGACTAGCTCCTGGGTAGGTATAAAGTCTTCTATCTGGGGACCAAAACACTTCCTGTTCCACTCAGTGCCTCTCCCTGCCTAAGGCCTCTAGAGCAGAGGATTTGCCCAACCCATCCTGCCTACACTACCTCCCAGAATCAATGAAAGAAAAGATGCTGACACTGCGACAGAGGCCTTGGTTGCATATTAATGACTCTGTTACCCTTAAGTATGCCCTCCAGTGAGGCATGGACCCGAGTTACCAAAGAGATGGAAGAGCGTCACACCGGAATGGGATGGATCACCACAGCAGGAAGAAGTTAACTGGCACACACCTAGGTGTGGGCCTCAAAGCCTCTGTGGCCTGCTCCCAGGGGCTGTTCCTATGCTCTGGGGAGGCCTCTAAGACATCTCAGAGGCCAGTATATGGGATGGTTCAGGGGGGACACAGAGGCACAGTTCCTCCCACTGACAGCAACTAACAGCTGGTGTTGCCAAATATACATTCCAAAGGGTGTGTAAAGGGGGTGGGTGAAGATCCCTGGTTCCTCTTAGAACCAGGGATCTTCCATTGTGTCCACAGTGTGGGTCTGTGCTGGTGTCCAATGCTTGCCCATGTGGGCCTGGGAAGCCTGGCTACTGTAAGCAGACTGGGAGCCAGGCCTTTGCAAGTGGCCTGGTTCTGACAACTCTCTCTCAGGTTGGTACTCAGTTTCCTGAGTATGGACGACTGCCCTGTCACCACAAACTGAGGCACACTGGATTGGCCCGACTTGGGGGCTGGGAGGATGCTGGGATAAGGAAGGGTATGAGAGGCCCAGGGCCTGCTAGTCACATAGACCAGTACCCAGGCGTTGTCACTCACCGGAGCTGTTTCTTGGGGGTTGAACCATCCAGGCCGTTCCCAGCCCTGGCGCTCTTGGAACACACAGCCTCGTCCAAGGAGCTCCTGAATGGAGACAGAGAGGGCCCATCACACAAGGCCAGACACCTCTTAGAATGCAGAGCCAGGACACCCACTGCCCACACCCAAGAATGCTCAGGGAAGCAGAGTCCCTAGCCCAGGTCACTGCTCCTCCCTAGAGTACCCTCAGCACCTTCACCTCAAGAATCTCTCATCTAGAGAATGACCTGCTATGAGCTGAACTGTGGCCCCATCAGCACATGTGTGATAGTCTGGAGACGAGCCTATGGGGAGAGCGTTAGGGTTGAATAAGGTCACAGACCCACTGGTCCCAATCACAGAGGGCTGGACCCCTTCCAAGAAGAGGAGGGCCTGCCAGGATGCTCTCTGCTCTGGAAGGACATGGCAAGACAGTGGTTATCCTCAGCCAATAGGGGGTTGTCCAGGAACCACCAGGTCAGGGGCAACTTGGCCTTGAATCTTCCAGAACACAGAAACTGTCCCAAGAAGATTATGATGAGAAGTCTGTCTCTTTGCTTGCACAGCCTGGCTGCTCCTCTGGCATATACCTGTACACACTAACCATGCTGTCTACGCCTAGACCCCACCTGCACTGCTGCAGCCTTGGGGCAGGCTCCCATGTTGGTTCTTGTGTGTGTGTGTGTGTGTGTGTGTGTGTGTGTGTGTGGGAGAGAGAGAGAGAGAGAGAGAGAGAGAGAGAGAGAGAGAGAGAGAGAGAGAGAGAGAGAGAGAGAGAGAGAGAGAGAGAGAGAGAGAGAGAGAGAGAGAGAGAGCATTGTGCAGAGGACAGAGAACAACCTTGGAAGTTATTCCTCAGGTGCCATCCACCTTGTTTTATGAGGCACAATCTCTCATTAAACCTGAAGCTAGGCAGGCAAGTCAGGGAGCCTCAGTGAGCCTTGGGGAGTCTCCTGTCTCTGCTTCCCCAGTGCTGAGATCATAAACATAAGCCACCATGCCCAGCTTTTTTATATGTGGGTTCTGACTATTAAACTCAGGTCTTCATGCTTACATGCAAACACTTTACCAACTAAGCTATCTCCCCCACCCCCAAGACTGTTTTTCAGGACATCTGTCTCTCCACTTGGTCTAAAGCCCCTGCGGGAACTAGTGTCCCCCACCCCAACCTTGGCATAGCACCCTACACAGAACTCATGGAACAAGGGCTTACAATAGAGTATCCCACATGTGTCTGTTAGCCCAGCACCCCAAGGCCCTCCAGGAACCTCATCTTGTATATGCCTGGTATACCTCATGCAGGGGGTCTTTCCTCATGTTGCGTCCTGCCAGTGGCTCATCGTGGGGGAAGACAACTGAGTAGTTCTTGGCATAGGACTCATGGCTGCGCTCTCGGATCCAGCGGGGGTGGTCCGTGAGTGAATGATGGAAACGCCTGCCACCAATGAAGGAGATGGACTATTGTGGATAACCTGTCAGGGATCCAACCTGCAGTCTGGGCCTCTTCACTTAGTCACAAACCACTCTTCTCACAGCTAGCCCAGCTAAGGATGCCATGAGGAGTCCAGTCCACAGTTGATCTCTCACAGGTTGGGTAAAGCAACCACACGTATGGGCCCAAGATTCCCAGGGGAGGTAGGTGGTCCATCTTCCCATTCACAGATGCATAAATTAAGGCTCAGGGCCACACAGCTGGGGGTTTTGGGGTGGGCAACTGCTATACATCTATCCAGCTGTGAGAAAAGCATCTACTGTGGTCTGGAGGCCCCTGGTGCTGAGCAAGCCCTGGGACCTTCCCTTACAGCTAGGGTCTAGACATGCCCAAGACCCAGTGCTGGCTGCCCTACCCAGACATGTCCCCTGCTGAGGGTGCCTCTTTATAGATGAGGGTGAAGGAGTGCATTCTGCCCTTGACCTCGGTATGGGCACAGAAGAGAGATAGTTATGTTCTGGTTCACGCTGGCTCCCTCTGATTCTTTCTGTGTGTCTGTCTTCCTCTGTGTCTGCCTTTCTCT